CGAGGTCCTTTCCCGTCCCTTCTAACAATTCTCGTTCCGTTGGGCTAATTAGGTCGGTCCTTGGTAGGGCGGGGTTTATTTTTTTAAGAGAAAGGGAAGGGAAATAAACGTTGGCTTTTGGCCCTATGGTAACTCCTGGTCCCACGGCCACCTTCGGTTCCAACTCCCTTTTTCTTTGAAGAAACAGAAGCTAAAAAAAAAAGAGGTCACAGATGCGCTATCCTGTAGTAACCAGGGGATGTCAAGGTTGAGTCCGCAGCCGCATACACAGAGGCAGCTGAGGGCTTGTTGGGAGCGGCCCTGGACCCAGGCTTTGGACCTGGACTAAGACTTGACACCTTTCGCACCTGAGTCAGTTGTGCAGCGAGGGTCAAGGGAGCCGGGTGTCGGCCAGTCGCGCCGAGTGGGGACATGGACTCGGCAGCCGCCCGGGGAAGGGCCGGGAAGGAGCGCTGCGGCAGGCCAGGCCCCGCCCGCAACGTTTTCCCGGTAGTAGACGCTCCAGCCTCTGGCTCCGCAGGCCTGGTATCCGCGACCAGGGACTGGCGGCTAGAAAAGCTATCGCGGGGTTGCCCTGAAACGTCCGGAGATTTCCTGGAAAGTGTCTGACCCCTAAACGTTGTTCTAGGGAGAGCGTGGCCTCCCGTTTTCAAAGAGCCGGGACACTACAGGGGCTTTTCTATAACGTACCACCAGTGTTAATGCAGGGCGCTTTCTAACTTCACACTGTCCCAAGGGCCTCCGTTGTTGCTGTGGGCAGGCGGATGCGTGCACACGCGCCTCTCACCGCATGGCAAAGGGTCAGCAGAAATTGGGACTCTGGTGATGCCCGGGTTTTCTGTCTAGCTGCTTCTCTAAACTTCATTCGTAAAGGAAGAGTTGGACTATAGAAGCTCAAGTCCCTGAAAGAGTGCCTGTTCCTGGGTTGGGCACTCTCACCTTCTCCATCTTCCTCTCGCTGCCTTCTGCCCCACTAGGACCTTTGTACTAAATCTAGGCTAGCGCTACGGAGAACTCAAGTGACACAGCCCCGCAGAGTGGTCCCAGGGGACCCCTTGGTCAAGTCTACAATCCCCGCCTCCATCTGGATCATCTATTTGCTCTGAGATTGTGAGCAAGTTACTTAACCTTTCTCAGTGTCCTTCTCTTCCTAATGGGAATAAATAATAGTCCTACCTCAAAGGATTTCACGAGTCATTTCATGTCACACAGAAAGTGTGTCATGTGTTTTTAGAAGGCACTCCATATGTACCATTTCCCTTTATGCACACATCAGGGCAAACACAAGATCCTCTCTCTCTCTTACACCAACATACAGGCAGGATAAGACCCAGTGGACTCAGGACCTGTGGATATGAAGTGTTGAAGAGGAGTGGGTGCTCAAAGGTAGAAGCCAGTGGGCTTAAAAATGCCAGGCCTGCTTTGGTTGAGCCGATTTGAGAAAAATTCCTTACTTCCTCAACTCAAGGTCCCTATTTATTGTGAAACACCTCCTTCCCACTCCCCCCCACCCTTGCCTTTTTTAAAAGTTAGGGCAACACTGGCCATCACGACTTTCTAGAAACCCATTTCAAAGGGTGAAGAAAAGCAGTGGATAAATTTGTCTTTGCAGATAGCCCAGGGAGAATAATGTGGGCTTAGAAGAAATTTGTCTTCTGGTCTCTGCTGCTCTACAATGGCAAACCCACTATACTCTTTGATTTGTAATTTCCTCATCTGTAAAATGGGGATGATGTTACTAATGCTTCCTTAAAGGATCTTTGTGAAAGTTAGAGGAAATAACCTATGTGAAGCATTTTGTACTAGCAACTCAGGAGGACAGAGCCAGCAATTCACTAAAAATAATAACAATAACAATAACCCCCCAACAAAGCCTAAGCGAAGAGGAGAAAACCTCCAAAGACATAACATTTCCAATATAGAATGTCTAGGGCTTATTTTCAGACAGATTGAGAGATCAACAGAAGAAAAGACTCTATCCAGTTTCAGAGAAGGTGTTCAGGACATTCAGATGAGAAGGGACAATTGTGCCCAGTTTGTGACTTAAAATACTCAAGATGTGTCCCCAACAAGCCTGGGGATATTTTTTTCTGTAAATACATCTTAGTGTCTCCAGTATCAGTGCAGGAAATTGGCATGTATTAGAGGAAGGCTGCAGATAAACATAGTCAAACATGATATAACTGCAGAGTTACTCCACATATTCTGAAGTGTACTTTTAAAACAGGGAGAAAACCCAGAACCATTTTTTCTCGTGCTATCAGCTATAGTCATGAATTATTTGTATAGCTTCTCATTTTACTGTCTCTGCCCCACATAAATGTATATCTTTTGTGTGTATATATATATGTGAAAATTTCCATTTTGTGTGAGGAGTTTTTATGTTAATCATGGTTTCTATTAAAAAATCAGAGATAACAAAGGGTTTTTCTCTGTTCTTCACATAAAAAACCCTAACCTGTCCAACAAAACAGAACTTATCACTTCTAGATAATTTTGTAAAATCTATTTAGTTATTCTTTGGGTTGTGCTTTCTATCTTCTTTAAAATATGAACCAATCAATTATATTAGCCATATGGCTTGATCATAACAGCTAATTTCCATTTCATAATGTAATTGTTGTTTAAACACTGACAATTTATTAGTCAAGGTGTTTAGGAAAGTTCTCCCTGGTTCTATCTTTTTAAAATGATTGAAATAACTGTAAAAACTCAAAGTCATTACATTATTAGTTTTCATGGTTTTAGATTCTGTGGCTTCTTAGTATAAAATGTCTCCAAGGAGAATCTTCCACTTGCTCTGTGGTCCTGGAACTCACAACATGGAGTATCCAGGGCAGCTTTGTTTTCTTTGCCAGACACAGGCTTTCAACAGCGAGAATTTGATGCAGTGGGAGGGGCTCACTGGGCTCCTCAGTTATGCTGGACGTGACTACTGGTTGCAAAGGCTGTGCAGTCACATATTCCTGCAAACAAAACATGTCACCCTTCAGTGATTTTAATGCTTTGTCCATTAAATGTACTTCCTTATGTAAATGGCAGTGTATTTAACTGGTAAACAGATGTTCCCCACTATCATCTCGGAATTAGAAAGCTGTGGTTTATGGTTTGCTTTAGGCTCTGGGTTTCTTATTTCCCTGAGTATTTTCCAGAGTCATTTCTGGTTTTTTCCTCCACCCATCTGAGTTTTGGTTCCATTGTGATCTTACTCTTGGTGTAGGGATTGAATACTCTTGCCATAAGACTGTAATACACACTTTGTGGGCCTCTACAAATACTCACATAATGTATTTAATAATACATTAAAAATGTAGAACATGAAAACATGTCATATTTAAGGTAATTTGGCTTTAATACAGCCTGACTTTAATTGAGGGTCTGGTTCTAATGACTGCTCTATATATCCCTTAGTTTAAAATGTAAGAAACCCACCATGTCAGCCTGTCTCCTAGAAGATAAGATTTAAATGCCAGATGGATAGCTGGTCTATTAATAGGCAAAAAGATTTGACTATAAGACAATTGAGGAAACATGAAGTCTTTTTGTAAGCTAGTCTACTCTCAATTAACTAGAATTTTAAAAGTTTCTTCTTAAACTAGAATTAAAAAAAAATTAAGGTCACATATTTCCTTACACTTACTTATCTATTCTTTTGTTTTTCCTTTTTCTTTTTACATTTTTTTTAGATTGAGTTATAGTCAGTTTACAATGTTGTATCAATTTCCAGTGTAGAGCACAATTTTTCAGTTATGCATGAACATACGTATTTTCATCATCACATTCTTTTTCGCTGTGAGCTACCACAAGATCTTATATATATTTCCCTGTGCTATACAGTATAATCTTGTGTATGTATTCTACATATGCCTGTCAGTATCTACAAATTTTGAACTCCCAATCTGTCTCTTCCCACTCTCCTCCCCACTGGCAACCACAAGTTTGTATTCTATGTCTATGAGTCTGTTTCTGTTTTGTATTTATGTTCTTTTTTTCCTTTTTTTTAGACCCCACATA